CAGGACAGCAAGAGTCCCTGAAACTCATACCTCCAATTAACCAGCAAAAAGCTGGGAGTGAAGGTGTGTTCCCAAGTAATAGAATAGCCAGCCTTGAGCAGAAAAGCTAAGGGCCAGTGCTCAGGCTCTAAATTTAAGCCCCTGTACTAGCATGTATGAGGGCACATGCATGCACACATGCACACAATACACACACAGAGGCACAGTGAAAGTGTGTTTATTCTGCATTTGCTCTAAAGAGGGGTGTGAACTATTAGCCTATTCTTAAGAATTCGATCCAATGAGTCACTGGAAGACACGAACCAGAAACCCATGATAGACTCCATCTTCCCACCCCCACTTCAGAGCCCTCTTCCCAGCTCACTGGACATTTGCCTCTGTCCCTCAGCCTCCTAGAACTTTCTCTCTTCTCTCTGAGGTCAGCGAGTATTTAAAGCTCTCGTCTTCATCCTGTTCCCATCAGTAAGATCTGGCTTAAAGGAAGGGGAATCCCGCTGATGACTTTTCTTCTGGGAAATCAACAGCTGCATTTTCCAGGACCAAATCCTCAGCCTAACATTTCTGGTAAAATTCAACAATCAAAGGATTTTACCGAAACAAAGCCAGATCAGGCTTAGGAGAATCTGTTCATATCAACACTTGACATTCTTTTCTTTCTCTTCCATAAAAGGAAAAAGGTTTTTAAATAAAGTCTTAACTTGAATTTTCATCCAATTTTTAAGAGTTGCAAATTCTCAAAAGTAGATAAAGTTGGAAAATTCAGTTTCAGAACTCAAAAAACTTAACCAATGAACCTGAACAACTCAACAGTGTCCCCTGGTGGTCACGAGCACAGCTGTGAGCTTGAGCTACTAAGGTCTATTTAGCCTCTAAAATTAGCTAGAAAGAAGTATCTCATCACCACGAAACCTCCAACTCCTAACTCAAATAATATGAAATGTTCATTGAAATAAGAAATGTTCACCAAAAGCAACGATTAAGAGGATCATGGTCAAGTTCTAGGATTATAGGTATGTACCACCATGCTCAGCTCACACTCATTTTTATTAATTTATTTTATTTTATTTTTTTGGGGGGTCCAGTCATGGGTCTGAACTCCAGGCCTGGGCGCTGTCCCTCAGCTCTTCAGCTCAAGGCTAGCGCTCTACCAGTTGAGCCACAGCGCCACTTCTGGCTTTTTTTTCTGCTTATGTGGTGCTGAGGAATTGAACCCAGGGCCTCATGCATGCAAGGCAAGCGCTCTACCACTGAGCCACCTTCGCAGCCCCTCACACTCATTTGTAAAAGAACACTCTGGCTGCTGACTTATCCTTTCAAAGTTATAGTGAAGACTGACACTGAGGTCTGAAGGAGTTGGGTGATAAGCAAGAGTAGAAAATAGCTCTGGAAAGCCAGGCATGGTGACACACATCTGTAATCCCCTTACTCTGGAGGCTGAGTAAGACCTTGTTGAAGGAGGAGGAAAGGGAGGAAAAGGAGGAGGAAGAGGAAGAGGAGAAGGAGGATGGGGAGCAGGAAAGACAAAGGAGGAGGAGGAGGAGGAGGAAGAGGAGGAGGAGGAGGAGGAGGAGGAGCTGGAGGATCAGCAGCACCTACTACAGAAGTCCAATCAAGCAGTTGCTACTGCTTGGATCAAGCAAGTGGTTGAACATAGAATATATTTTGGTCAGCAAGCCAACAGAAATTATTAGTGGATTACATCCCTGGCCATAAGGGAAATACAAATCAAAACACCAGTTGAATGACCACCATAAAGAACAGCAGCAAATGTTGGAGGCAATGTAAACTAGTGCAGCACTATGGAAAGCAGAGTGGAAATTGCTCAAAAGGCTAAAAACAGAGCCAGGCACCAGTGGGCCAAACCTATTATCCTAGCTACTCAGGAGGCTGAGATCTGAAAATCTCAGTTTGAAGCCAGTTTAGACAGATACATTTGTAAGACTCTTATTTCCAATGATCCAGTTCAAGTGAATATGGCTCAAATGGTAGAGTATCAGCCTTGTATAAAAAAGCCAAGAGAAAGTGCGAGACCCTAAATTCATAATCCAGTACCAACACACACACAAAAATACCTAAGCTAAAAATAGAATGATGATCCAGTGATAACATTCCTAGGCCTTTATTCAAAAGATTACAAATCAAGACAAAATAAGGCTACTTGCACACCCATGTTCATTGTAGCACTATTCATAAAAGCTGTTATAGAAATAGCCCAGATGACCAACAACCTACAAATGCATAGTATAATATCACAAATGTGATGTTATATATCACATTGTATATATACATACTATATCTAATATACATAACGGAACTATATTCATCTATAAGAAAGAATAATATTGTGTCATTTGTAGAAAAATGGAAAAAATCAACCCATGTGAAGTCAAGAAAAGGGCATATCAGTGGAAGCTAGACCTAAAATAAACATATATGAAAACACATACTAGTCCATATGCATATGGACATGATCACACCGACTGCAGGATGGCATACCCAGAGGTGAATTTCCATAGTGTGACCCCCTGAACAATTAACAGTCATTTTAACAAAATGACGATGGGGAATAGGAAGTGAGTGGATGAATGGAGAGGAAGGGCGGGTGAATACACTCCTAACACTCAGTGTACAGAGGGGAAAATGCACTGGGGAATGAAGAGAAGGGGGGGATGACATTGGAGGGGGTGGGGAGAGCCATCCAGATGCACTGTACACACAAATGGACGTGTTAAATTGAAACCCCTTTGTACGGCTATTTGAAGATAATTAAAAAGTAAAATAAGTTAAGGCATGGGATGGAAGCAGGACTGACTCTCTTGGCCTGAGCAGTTAATTGGGTGAATACCAATAACAGTTATAGATGCCTACGTAGAAAACAGATGTGGGGGAAAGGGAGAGTGAGAAATTAAAAATTATCTTTGATTTGCTTATTATGATCAGCAGGGTATGGTAGAAGATGGATGGACATGTGAGTTGGGTCCAGAGAAGAGACTGGAAGTAGACATACACATTTGGAGATCCTCAGCATATAGGGAATACTTAAAGCTCTGAGATTGAAGGAAATACTTAAAGCTCTGAGATTAGCAGAGGTCTCCTACGCCAAAAGTCTAGATAGTGAAAAGGTGGGAGAGACAAGGCTGAAGAGAGATCGATAAAAATAGAGAAACTTCAAAGAAGGCTAAAGGCCAGGCTCTGGTGGCTCACGCATGTAATCTTTTTTTTTTTTGGGTGGGGGGTGGTCATGGGGCCTGAACTCTGGGCCTGGGCGCTGTCCCTCAGCTCTTCAGCTCAAGGCTAGCGCTCTACCACTTGAGTCACAGCGCCACTTCCCGCTTTTTTCTTTTTGCTTATGTGGTGCTGAGGAATCGAACCCAGGGACTCAGGCATGCAAGGCAAGCGCTCTACCACTGAGCCAACTTCCCAGCCCCTCACGCATGTAATCTTAGCTACTCAGGAGGACTCAGTCTGAGGAATGCGACTTGAGGCTAGCCAACAACAACAAAAAAGTCTGTGAGACTCTTATCTATAAACAAGCAGCACAAAGCCAGAAGTAGAGCCATGGGTGATGTGGTAAAGTGCCATTTATAAGAGGAAAAAAGCCAGGAGAGAGTGAAAGGCCCTGAGTGTGCATATGTGCATACACACACACACACACACACACACACAGAAAAGGTGCCACCAGAAGGAGCCAACACAGAGGTAAAGGTATCTGGAGAAGGAAGAGTGTTAATGCTGTAGAGAAAATCATAGATAAGAACAGTTTCCCATTACATTTGACAAGATGGAGGTTGAATGGAACCATTCCATAAAGCAATAACATACTTCCTCCTAAATGGAAGAGTTAAATAGGAGGTGAATGAGAGCCCACGGTGTACATATTTCTTTCAAGGAGTTTTCATGTAAAAAGAGGCAACACAGCCAGAGGGGAACACAAGCTCTAGTCATTAACAAGGAAGATTCCGCAGCATGTTTGGCGGGCAATGCTGGGAATAATTCTGTATAGGGAGTAACTGCTCACTAGGCAAGAACAGGATACAGTACAAAGATGAAGGAATGACAGCTTTACAAGTAGCAGGACAACCCAGTACTTGGTGGCTCATGCCTGAAATCCTAGCTACTCAGGAGGCTGAGATCTGAGAACTGTGGTTCAAAGCCAGCCTGGGCAGCAATGCCCTTGACACTTTTATTTCCAATTAAAACACACAAAAAAGCCAGAAGTGGAGCTGTGGCTCAAGAGGTTGAGTGTTAGCCTTGAGCAGAAAAACTCAGGCACAGTGCCTAGGCCCTGAGTTCAAGCCCCGGGATCAGCACAAAGGAGAGGGAGGAGGAGGAGGAGAAGGAGGAGAAGGAGGAGGAGGAGGAGGAGGAGGAGGAGGAGGAGGAGGAGGAGGAGGAGGAGGGGGAGGAGGGGGAGGAGATGCAAGGGGACTTAGGAGATGTCAGTTGTAAATCCTGACTTGATTACTTATAATTTCTCAGTGAAACAAGAATATAATACTCTTAGTACTGGCGGGGGTGGGAGGAGCAGAGTTCATAGGTTTGAAAAGAACAGAGGAGACTGGGTGGAGAGTGGATTTGTTAGGGGTCTATACTGAGATTGACCAGCATTTCCTCCCAAGATTAACATATGTATTTGTACCAGAAGACCAATTGAATAGAGCACCAAGAAAGAGAATTGGATTTTTTTTTAAATCTTTTAAATCTGATATTTTTCTTAAAGTATGAAATATTTCAACTGTTTCAAGCACCTAGAAAAAAATTAATGCACATATATATGCTACCTAGATTTAATTACCATGTTGTCTCCAGCATCAGTTTAAGAAATAAAACATTCCAGACACAGTTGCAAGCCCCTGAGGGCCTTCCTCTGATTTGCGTCTTCCCTCCTGTCTCTCTCAAGTTCATTGAACAATGGCTGAAAGCAACAATGTTGCTCTTTCTCCCCACCAATCAACAGCTCCCTGTGACTCCTCAGCCAAACGCTGTTATTCAGGATTTACCTGCTATCTGGGTTGTCAGGGAGATGACTACCGGGAGTTCTGAAGACAAAGCCTGGAGGCTGATACTGTAGTTGGTACCCGGATGCAGGTCCAAGCATACTGCAGGGGTGGAGCTGCTGGTGGTGGTATTAAAGATCACTTCCTGGGCAAATTCCTCCTGGTACCATCTCTGGCCCCAGATGTGTAACTGAAACATAAAAACACAAAGTGAATCATGGACTTGAAACCTTCTCCAGGTTTCCTAGGCCTCTTTCTCATGTAAAGTTTCTTCAAAAAGTAAACTGCAGTGGTGACCAAATAATAAAGTTGTGATGCCATACATTTTTAGTATGATTATACTATGGAGATAATAAATATATTTTTTAATGAAAGTGCACCAAAGACACTTAGCTCCTCCTTATTTTTGTAGACTCCTTGTGGAAGCCTGTTGAGAATACTTGGGGAGCAAGGAAAAAGAACATTTTCCTAAAAAAAAAACAAAAACTTTAAAAACCTGAACTCAGCAAGACCTGAACTAGGACATTCCCAGTGGAGCTGGTAGAAGTTGGGAAGGCTGGCACTGGTGGCTCATGTCTATCAGCCTAGCTATCTGGGCGGCTGATATCAGGAAGACCAAAGTTACAAGCAAATCCCAGAGAAAAGAAGTTGAAGAGACTCTGTTTCCGCAGAAGCAGCTGAGCAGGGTGGCAGCATCTGTCATTCCAGCTACAATGGCAAGCCCAAATAGGTGAATGGGGTCTAGGCACACACCTAACTGGCTAGAGGCATGGATCAGTGGTAACATATCTGCCTAGCAAGCGTAACTCCCTGAGTTCAAGCCCTGCCCAGCACAAATTGCTGGTTTCTTACTTCTGATTCTGTCACCATAAATCTTCTAGTGCTAATGGCAACCACCTCATAATTTTTAGGCTCACAGGTATGCTTTAAACCCCAACACAAGACAAGCAGCTACAAATAAAGTAATTTTCAGTAACTTACTAAGTACATTTCTTCTATATCGGCCGTCTTCATGCTTTTCCATCTCAAGCAAGTCTCATTAAATATTGAAACATTACTGATGATCTGTTTTACTGCAAGGGAAAAGAATGAGAAATCCGCTTACATGCTATACACAAAACATTAACTTTTCATTAAACCATTTGCCAAGGATAAGCATTAACACTGGATGAGCTTAATACTGGATGCCAGTACTAGGGTTTGAACTCAGGGCCTCATGCTCCGGCTTGGCTATTTTGTTCAAGGCCAGCACTCTATCACAGCTCTACTTCCCAGATTTTTGGTGGTTAATTGAAAATAAGAGTCTCTTGGACATTCTTGACCGTGTTTGCCTGGCTTATCTTGATTTTCAGATTTCAGCCTCCTGAGAATCTAAGATTACAGAAATGAGCCACCAGCACACAGTCTGAGTTCAGCAACTTTTTATTGGGGGGAGGATGGGAGGCAGTCCTAGGGCTTGAACTCTGGGCCTGGGTGCTATCTCTGAGCCTCTTTGGGCTTAAGGCTAGCACTCTACCACTTGAGCCATAGCACCACTTCCAGCTTTTTCTGAGTGGTTTATTAGTGGGAAGAGTCTCTCAGACTTTCTTGCTTAGACTGGCTCAAACAATGATCCTCAGATCTCAGCCTCCTGAATAGCTAGGATTACAAGTATGAGCCACCAGCACCTGGCTCAGTGATTTTTTTGCTGTTTTTGTTTTGGTTTGTTTGTTTTGTTTTGTCAAGGTGGTGTACAGAGGGATTATAAGCACAGGGGTAATAAGTACATTTCTTGTTGAACTTGTTACCCCTTTTTCAAGAATATTTTTATTTAGAAATTCATAGCAGCAATGTCCAAGAAACACCACTTTCATATTAGGGAAATCAATCCTGATGAAAGATTTAAGAGCCAGAGACTTCAGTCAGAAGATTCCTCTTAGAAATGAAGTCCACTCACTGTAAAGTCCCTTGTTTTTCTATGTCTAAATTATAATGTGTTGTCCAGGGCTTTGGACAGCCTGACTGATACAAGAAAATACCAGTTGGAAATTCTGATCTAAGAGGTATCTCTCAGTGCAGAATTGCTCCTTGAAGAACTAAAACTATCTTAAGCAGGCAAACTTTTCATATGATGGTTCTCTCTTGGCTGGGGTCTCCATATTGCTTATGATCAAAGAAGCATGTCTTGGCCTCTGCTCAGTTTCAGGGTAACTGATCTAAAGGTGATTCCAAATCTAAAGGGTAATACATTTTATTGAACAGGCATGCCCTTAAACCTTCCTGAAACACAGACTACATATTCAAAACTCTGCTATTGGGGAAGAATGACCCCCTGTCCCTAAACTGGAAATAATGGCAGACTTGCTTGGAAGTTTTGTAGGAGCACTGGGATGATGGATGATTCATAAGACAACTCCCAAAGCACCTGAAGGGAAGACGAGCCCATGGGAAGAAACAGGAGTGTTAGCAAACACTCCTGGACTGACAGGTTTTTATGAATGAGGCTAAGTTGGTGGATGTGACCACTCCATATGGACTGAGCATCTTTACACAGAGGAAAAACTTGCTCCACAGATCATAGCTACACTCCAAACACTGCAAATGGAGCAGGTGGGGGAGTATAGGTGGTTAACTAACAGCTAGGTATAGAATGCTGGGTACAGAGCACGGGCATGGAGATTAGAAGCAGTGATCCAGGGGATGCCTATGTTTCTGAATCATGCATAATATAATACCCAATACTATTAATAATTTAATACCATTGGTAATGCTTTTTGCTTATATATTCTTTTTTTTTTTTTTTTTTTGGTCAGCCGTGGGGCTTGAACTCTGGGCCTGGGCGCTGTCCCTCAGCTCTTCAGTTCAAGGCGAGAGCTCTACCACTTGAGCTACAGCGCCACTTCCGGTTTTCTGGTGGTTTATTGGAGATAGGAGTTTCACGGTCTCTCCTGCCTGGGCTGGCTTTGAACTGCGATCCTCAGATCTCAGCCTCCTGAGTAGCTAGGATTACAGGCGTGAGCCACCAGCGCCCGGCTTTTTGTTTATATATTCTATATTAGTATTATTATAATAATACTTACAGTAGTAAAGAGCTCCAGATCACACAAAAAGGAGAAAGTTTCTCAACTCATTAAAGGTGACTACGTCATCCACAATGCCCAAGCCATATGAGGATGGCATTGAACAGTCACTGAACATGCTGTGCCAGGCTCCCTGGTCCTACATACCAAAACCCAAACCGCAATATCACCCGACACAAGTCAGCACTACATTCAGCCAACAATACACTGGGACTAAGGAAGACTTATTCTTGGATTATTATTGGAAGATCTAGAAATAGGTTAACAGAGAGAAATTCTATGGTTTCTTTTATAGTCACAATGCTTAAGATATTTAACATACATGCCTGACTTAAAATCCTACTCAACTAGATCTGTATAGAGACTCTTTAATTTAATAGTGCTTATTAGAAGCCATTCTAGTCACCCTTGAGACAAAGAAGCAATTTGTTATATAATAAGGAATCCGAGGCTGCCTCGTGATGCAGCCACTAATCGGCTCTGGGGAGGGTATGCCAGATGATGTGGAAAAGGAGGCGAGAAAATGGTCAAGCTACAATGGCCAAAAACAGGAACAAATTTTGTGACTTCCAGTAAATCTTAGTCAACTGGAAACCAAAAAGGAAATTGCTTGAAAACAAATGCAAATAGCAAGAGCTGGGCAAAATGCATAGTATATGAATATAAAAATAATCTTCATATCTTCTTCATATCTACAAGAAAAAAGGATGATATTCTGAATAATGACACCCCAAAGATGTCCACCTCCTAGTCCCTGGCACCTGTGAATATGTTACTGTGCAGAGCAGAAGAACTTGATAAAGGTGATGATGACTGAGAGATTAGTGGAATTACAAGGATCCTTACAGAGGAAGAGAGATGAGAAAATCAGGGCTACAGAAAGATCACATAAGGCCAAGCCTGGTGGTTCACATGTGTAATCCTAGCATTGGGGAGGCAGAAACAGAAGGGTCAAGAGTTCCAGAACAGACCCAGCCATCAAAAAAGGAAGGAACAGGGGTAGGAAGGTGGCTCAGTGGTAGAGTGCTTGCCTTGCATGCATGAGGCCCTGGGTTCAATTCCTCACCACATAAGCAGAAAAAAGCCAGAAGTGGCGCTGTGGCTCAAGTGGTAGAGCGCTAGCCTTGAGCTGAAGAGCTGAGGGACAGCACCCAGGCCCAGAGTTCAGGCCCCGCAACCGGCAAAAAAAAAAAAAAAAGAAAGAAAGAAAGAAAAAAAGGAAGGAACAAGTCAGGCCTTGATGGCTGTGCCTATTCAATTAGCTACTCGGAAGCTGAAATGTAAAGAGTGCAGTTTGAAGCCAGCCTCGGCAGGAAAGTCTATATGATTCTTAGCTCTGATTAACCAGCAAAAAGCCAGAAGTAGAGGGTGGCTCAAGTGATAAAGTGTTAGCCTTGAGCAAAAAAGCCAAGTGAGAGCCCAAGTCCCTGTGTTTAAGCCTTAAACTGGTGCCCGCACATGCACACATGCGCACGCATGCATGCTCACACACACACACACACACACACACACACACACACACACAGAGGAAGAAAAGAGGAAGGGAGGGAAGGAGAGAAAAAGGGAGAAAGGGAAGGAGTGAAGGAGGAAGGGAGGGGAGGAAAAGAGAAGCAGAGGTTGAATTGATTACTTTTTTTTTTGTTAGTCATGGGGCTTGAACTCTGGGCCTGGGCGCTGTCCTAGCTCTTCAGCTCAAGGTAAGTGCTCTACTACTTGAGCCATAGAGCCACTCCCAGTTTTCTCAGTAGTTTACTGGAGATAAGAGTCTCACGGACTTTCCTGCCCAGGCTGGCTTTGAATCTCCATCCTTAGATCTCAGCCTCCTGTGTAGCTAGCCACAGGCACCCAGCCTGAACTGATTACTTTTAAAGATGGAAGGTAGGGCCACAAGCTAAGAAATGTAGGCAGGCGCTTCAGAAACCAGAAATCACAAGGAAATGGTGTCTTCTTGCTGCTTAAAACTCCAGCCCTGCCAACACCTTAGCTGTAGTCATGTGACAGTGATTTGATTTGATTTGATTGTGAAAGTGATTTTAAACTTCTGATTTCTGGAAGTATATAATAATCAGTTGTATTATTTTCAGCCACTAAAACTCTTTGTCAAACCAGCAAGTCAAACTAATGCAAGTAACAAAATACAACAGAGAAATTAAAAGATCCTCATTCAATAAGAGAGGAGACCAGAAATAAACTTCAAATAATCAGAAATATCAAAAACATTCATGTAAGTTTTTTCTCTTTTTGGGGGGCGGGGGGAGTGGGGGGGCACACATGACAGGTTTGACCTCAGGGCTTTCTATTTTCTAGATAGCACTGTACCACTTTAGTCACATCCCAGCCCTTTTTGTTTGTTTTATTTATTTTTCAGATTGTCTCCCACCTTTTGCAAGACTGTATATAATCAACCCTCTCTTCTGTAATCCTGGGATTACAAAAGTACATCACCCCACCTAGTTTATTTATTGAAACAGGAGGATCTTCCTAATGTTTGTGTGTGTGTGTGAGAGAGAGAGAGAGAGAGAGAGAGAGAGAGAGAGAGACAGCGCTAGCCTACAACTGTGAGCTACTTAATTTTTACCTCTTAAACCACTGTCCCCAAGTTTTTAAAGAACATAAAAGAAAAACAATAGAGAGAGAGAAAGGCCATGTAGTGGAAGAGAAAGCTTCAGAAGTAAGTGTCAATTCTCTACCAGTTAATGTACAAGTATAATACACTTTCAATGGGAATTCCCGTGGCTCTTCATAGAACTTGACAAATTCACTCATCCATTCAGTGGATGTTTTTTTAAGTTCTTACTTTGGGCCAGGTGTGCTCTGGGGGCTAAATGATAAGGTGGCAAGAGAGAATGCCAGCTGCCATGCTGACGCTCACGCTGGGAGAGGATGAACGGGGAGAAGGGATGGCTGGGAGGTGACAAGTGAGTAGAGATTGGCAGGAAGGAGTGAGTCACGGGCTAGAGGAAGAGGAGTCAGCAGGAGAGAACCACGGGGCAGAAGCCAGGTGGCACACAGAT